GAAGGTCACGTAAATGGCGAGCTTTTAGGTTACGCAGTGGTCGTGAATGGATCCGGCAACTTCTTGTTTGCTGCTCCGTGTTTCTCGTCACTTGAGCTTAGCGATGTGAACATTTCAAGGGACACGTGTATCCGAATGGCCGCTATAACTAGAGTCGGGATTGGGCCGATGACTAATTGCACACAAATCGATTTCGGTAGGTTCAGCTTTTGTCCTTGTACCGCTATAGCTGGGTAGTAGCCCTGCCATTTTGGTAAATCTTTCTCCGGTTATTACATTCCCATAAGGAATATAAACCACATCAAATCTTATAAGACGCGTTAATGCCAACTAGAAGTTGATGGTAGTTAAATTTGAGTTACTTTTATTAATGCCTGAATATCCTCCGGGGAGAAGGGGGGCACAAATGTCTCGGTTTTAATCCAGGAAAATGACATTTAAAGATTGACAGCACTTCATCAGAACAGAAACATGGCAAGTAGTGCTTCGACAAAAAGGTTGACGCTCAAAATGTTACTTTCTCGTATTCGCCACAATTAGACAAAACCTAAACACAGTGGTCGTTTCTGGTTGCTGCCATAAAAGACATAAAATTAACCAACCGGCCATAATCTTGGATATCGCGGGCTCACTAAAACATCGCAACGGTAATTATTCCCCTTTGTGGTTATAAGGCCACGCCACGAAAAACCTTTTCTTTCTCTGTCAGCGCCCGACACCACTTCACCGAAAACAGCTGCTTCGACAGCAATGAGTTTAACAAAAATCAAGGTCACGTGGAAACATGGGACGAGAGAAGGATTGAAGGGAGATTTGGATGGTTTTTACATCAAGTATCAAGCCATCCGTGTCGGCGGTGAACCAGTTGAAGACCAACTTGCTCAGCCAAAGTATACTGTGATAGTTTGTGCTAATATAAATGAAGTACTTCTTACCGATCTCAAGTCTTACACTATGTACAAGATTCAAGTGGCAGTTATAACACCCAGCGGGATAGGAAACTTCAGTGAGCCCATATATGGAGGTAGATTTTATGTACAAATATACTTCAAAATTAATTACAAAAATAACTCATAATTATATCGTGTGCTAAATGTATTCTAACAACTTAGAGATAGATTATTGAGGAGAATAACTATCTTATTAGTCAGCTTTGCAAGATGTCAGACGAACCTCGGTCGCCTGATTATTACAGTAGAGAATCTTTGGCAGGAAAAAAAAGGCGACTGGCACATTTACCCATAATTCGTAACGCACGAAAATATCAACGCTTCATTTCACACACTTTTGCACGCTTCATTTAAATGGGGCCTCTTCAGTTAAATGAAAACGTTGAAAAAAACTTATTACGTGCATACAATAGTAGCATGACCCGCAGGTAGTACGCACATGGAGTACGGCATGGTACGTTTGAGGTCACACTTGGAAAAATAAAAAATAAAAAATAAAATAAATTAAAATTTTATCCGTCAAAAAAAAAAATGGTACGTTTGAGTGTCGAAAAGTAATTGTTTTTGTATCAGCTACGCTACACGGTTGGCCTAAAAAAACTCGCGCCGCTTTTTTATTCAATCAGAAGTAAAACCAAAACCAATCGTGAATCGCTCGTACACGTTTTCCCGCCCTTTTTGTCAGCTGCATGTAATTAGTTCTAGTTTTAATTGGTTCATTGTATTGTCTGTGTCCTTTGTGATTGGCCAGAGTGATTTTCCTTTTCTTTTGCTTTTACGACATTAAATTGAAAACAGCTCTAAAAAGAGTACAGAAAACTTCAAATCTATGGCATGCACAATGTCGTCAGTGTAGGGACAAATATTGCCAAAAATATGACTTTTTTGTGGCTGTGTTAGGTTTGCAAGATGTTGCGGTAGATAAAATGCGCTCTTCCTTTTTCTTACGGAGGATTCAGCAAGAATACAACGTAAAAATAAAGTAGCGGATTATGAGAAAATGAAACACATTTTTGCGTAACTACATAAATTCTTCATAAATCTCAGGATCACACCCTGCAGCTCCCGGTCTCCCGGCAGCTATTTTCTTACTGTCTATAAAAACCTTTGTCTTGCGGAAATCAATTGTTGTCTTTTTGACCTTACTCGTTTTCTAAGCTTGTTTTATTACTAACAACAATATTTCCATCTTTGCTCAGAAACTTGTCGATGTACAGAACACTTAAGTGTCACCTTAGTGCAAAGCCCCTTAGATTCATCAGGATTAACCTCCCTCGCCGGTGTCATCACTGACTTGTTAACCACCACGTGTGGTGCATGCGACGAACACAACGTCACGAAGTTAGTCTCCGCCGACAGCGTCGCGGAAGAGAAGATATCTTTCCCCGTGATCAAGACCCAGGCTTTTGGCGACACAGAATACAGCAAGTTCATTCCGGTTATTAATGTCCCTGGTATTGTGGTTATTGGAAAGAAAGGCACTGACAGAGGTCTGCTGACAAAAGTCATGGCAAGCTCCATTTTTCATTCTTGGCCCGTTTTCCTTTTGACAATGGTAACAGCTCTTTTGGCGGGAATTATCATTTGGATTCTGGTGAGTTGCCCTGGCCTTATATTAACCTTTCATTCACAGCAATGCTAAAACTCAGAACAAACATCTCATGAAAGTACTTCAGTGCTTGCTTGCGTTTTATCAGCTGTATACGGCAACCGGTAGCATTACCTCGTACAGAATAATAAATAGTACCAGATGAAAGCACTGCTCAATAGCTTTCATTTGAATGGTCACACACGAGGGTTTTATCCACAGACTTAAGAGTTACAACCACCTTGTACAGCATAATAAACAGTACCACATGAAAGTACTGCTCAATAGCTTTAATTTGAATGGTGACACACTAGGGTTTTATCAACAGACTTAGAACCACCTTGTACAGCATAATACAAAGTAAAACGTTGTCGGTGAGGAGGGGGCGGTACAAAACACTTGTGATAGTATACCATAAGGGCGATCAAATCCAATGTGGTTGCATTCCATGACTCTTACATGCAGTTCATTTCCCCTTGCAGGACTCCAGTTCCAATCAAGAACAATTCCCTCGAACTTTTTGCAAAGGAGCTGGTGAGGGTTTCTGGTGGTCGGTCATTACCTTTTCAACAGTCGGGTGAGTTGAAATATGACTGACCCTAAGCTAGCTCCTCACTTTAGCAAGCAAGTCTATATTTCCTAACTGAACGCTCCTTTATCATATTAGCTCATTATCGAGTTGTCTTGAGCCTTTCTATCAAAGCGAGGTCTGGTGCACAACCATTCATATTAAAATGAGTTTAATTTTCATGTGGATGAAATTTCATTTTCATATGAGAGGATGGACACCAAGACTCGATTTGTGAGAGAGACTAAAGGTAATTCGGAAATGGTCTATAAGCAATCCTCTGTATGAAAAAGATGGCGACTGGTACATTTACCCATAGTACACGGCGCACGAAAACCTAGCATACACAAGATCGAAAGAGAAGGACAAATATTGCAAAAATATGGCTTTCATTCTACTTTATAGGCTGTGTAAGGCTTACACGTTATTGTGGTAAATGTACAGCCGCTATCTTTTTTGGCTTAGGGCTTTGTCCCTGGCCTCGCCGAATATCAGCCGATATATGGAAACCTCGCATTTTCAGCTTATCTTGTTAAGTATGAGGGACCCGGATTAAGTGTTTGTTCTATTTCTCGTAAACAGATATGGTGACCGTTGTCCCAAGTCCATACCAGCAAAGGTATTTGCGGTGGTCTGGTTTCTGATTGGACTCGTGATTTTCTCGCTTTTCATTGGCTCATTGACAGCAGTACTTACCGTTACAATCGTTTCAATGGATTTATACGGTGCGAGCGCCACCAGCTCTAGCGACGGCAAGGTATTGAGTGTGGTGTCAACACTCTGCAGCAAACTTAAATAAAAATGAGTTTTAATATAGATAACTGACTGAACTTTCGACCAGAAAATCCTGGCATAGCTAGTCAAACTTAGCCACAAACGAGCAAAACTTCTCAAGATGCCCGCACGTTGTCGAATGTTTGGAGCAGAACATTCTTACTTCGTTTATCAGTTGAGTAAGTCGTGACGGAGCTTTGGTGAAGAAGTTTTGGCCTTAAAATACGGTGTTGACAGGGGTAACGTTCCTCGTTTCCAACGGCTGTGCGTCGCCTACGATTTCGCGCGCTTTGCTGCTATGACGCCAAAAGCCCACAATTTGCCATTGGAAACGGATCCAGTTGTCTGTGACAACAACACGATTTTAACCTTAAACTGCCTGGTCACCAAACGTCCGTCGCGTTTTACCCAACTGATAATCATAGTAAAGTAGCCGAAGACAATTGCGAGTTTCATTCCGCATGGAACTCGCGAGTGTCTTCGGCAGTTGCTTCTCCATCGAAAAAAAATTGAGGACAGCATTGTTGGAGAGGGTCAGGCATATTCCTAGACAGGGATAAGCTCGACTGTCAAATAAGACACCAATACAGATATTCAATGAAAATTCTTTGAGTAGCTAGAATATGTAGAATATCGTTGTTTTTCGTTCATTACAGATTGCGGTAGTTGCGAACTCTTCTGAACATCAGATGGTGGTTAAGAAATTCCGAAACAAGATAAATATCGGTGAGTACGTAGCGTATTATCCACGCGCTGTCATTGGCGAACAAGCCCGCGATGTAAGAAAAAATATTCAAATGTTACTGTTTATGGTGGTCAATGCGCGTGCTTAGCTATACCTAGCTAGTTTACAGGCATGCCACTTAAACTGAAAGAAACAAATGTATCAACTAAACATAATAGGCTTAAAAATTCCAACTAGTACTGGCGGGAGGCAGACTAGTTGGCTATTTACAAGCATGACCGAGGAGTTGAACTAGGGTCTACCAAGAAACAACTCCAGCTTATTGGTCAGAGCGGGACTTGAACGCGAGACCTCCGGATTTCAAGTTCTGTGTCCTAACCCGGTTGAATTCTCACATTTCTTGTATAAGTTTGTTTCAAATTCATGCATATTTAAGATGGCTACCAACGGTTTCCAAGATTTTTCAGCCCTTCTTCTTTAACGAATCGATACCACCGCTAATTTTTAGTTGATGGCATACAAATATACTATATTTAAACAAATGCCGAATCATCGGTGAACAATGATTAGGCATTGTCCAATGTTTGGCCATTTTTTAAATGTCAATATCGCCACATCGACTAAAAGATAATCGCAATACTGACCTATCAAAGGAAAAGTGCTGAAAAGTGTTGAAAACCGGTGGTCAGCCACCTTTTCAAACTCTTTAGTCACGAAAGGAAATCATAACCTCGAAATTTTTGGACTTTTACGAATTTTATTTCTACGTTTTCTCATTATTTGGTAATAAAACTCAGCTATAAAAACGAACATCGTTTCGACCTCTCCGAGGTCATTTTCAAGTTCCAGTAAACTATAAAATAACATACAAATATAAAAGTCTTAAAAAGAAATGGCAATGTAAAAATCTTAAAGCATGTTAACATGCATAGTTACAATTAGTTTTAGTTTCGATCGAGAAGATGTGAAATATTGACCTTATTTCCGACAGCTCAAAGTTCGTAAAATATATTCCTTTACGCGTCCTATTTTCAACTCCCTTCTTGGTGTTCGATAAAATGTGGTCAAACACGGTCTTTCGGTCTTGATATCTTACCTAAACTACATATCATTTGACCAGAGTGACTTCACTGCAGGATCTACGTTTCCGGATGTAAACTCGATGGTGGAAGCTTTACAAAGCGGTAACATATCTTCAGTGTTACTGGAGATGTACGTTCCTGTCAAGAGAAAAGATCTGTTTAACAACTCCTGGTTTGTGGTCAAGCAACTTCTAGAGGCAGAAATAACTCATGGAGTTCTACTCCAAGGGGCGGGGGTCTCAAAATTGGCGAAAGAGATGAAGAATTTAATAGCGACGAACAACATTCAGACAAAATATTTAGCACAGCAAAACGACGTCGTGGATCAATCTGAGGTAAGACTTGAAACAACCAGTGCAATATCGATAAACAGCTCATTTCTCCTTACAAGGATCTCATATTACAAGTAGGCATGTGAAGAGAATATGCAACTGGACGCCATTGAGGCCCGATTAGGGGTTTTCGGGATACGGGATATAGGGGTGAAAAACTGACGGAATACAGGATATCCAAGGGGGAAATAAATGGGATATGGCATATTTAGATCAGATAAAACGGGATATCGAGTAGAAAAATCGTTAATTTTTGCAATTGGAGTTAACGGGATGGGGGATATTTAGGCCAAAAATTCTCGGGATGTGGGAAACTCAGACCCCCCCCCTCCCCGCTCCCCGCCTAATGAGGCCTCACTGGCTAGGAAATGGTCAATCGGAGACATTTTTTTGTGAGAAAAGTACCAACCAATCATTGGCAAAAGCTTCTTGGTCGATCTACAACTTAAATATGTAGACTCGTAGATGCTAGTCGATATAATTAGGTTACGGTTGTTATTTGATTTTAAAAGCCAATTATCAAGTAGATCAGTTAGGTTCTTCGGTAAATATTCTTTTTTTCTGCTTCCTCTACGCTTTCAATCCAGGTTGACTCGTCGTCTGTGGTTTTCTTTGAACCAAGTAGTCCTTACTTCCTCAACACCATGGTCATCAGTATCGCGCTCTTGTTCTTTGCCGTGTTATGTGGCCTGTTTTATCAATCCATCTGTTACAAACGGCTGTGTAGGAAACCTGGTACCCAAGGTATGTTAAATTGGCCATCAGCTGAGTAGATATTTAGTATATAAGCCAAAATTTGGCACCTGTTTCTGTTGAGGGACCTGATTTGGTACTTTTTCACGTATGCCTTCACGTCACTGACTGACCGTCCAACCCATTCGGGTCGGCTGGCTAATTAACTGGCTGGTTGACTGGTTAGCTGGTTAGCTGACTGACTGACTGACTGACTGACTGACCGACCTACCGCCGACCGAACGACCTACTAACTCATTTACGGGCTGACTGACTGGATGGCTGCCTAAATGATTGTCCGAACGACCTTACTGCTGACAGGCCAGCCGGCTGGCTGGCTGGCTGGCAGACTGGCTGACTGACTGATTGACTGACTGATTGATTGACTAACTGTCTGTCTGTGTGTCTGTCTGACTGGTTGGCTGGGTGACTAGCTTGCTAGCTGGCTGCCCAGCTGGCAGACTGAATGGCTGGTCACAGCCGTCCAGAGTGGTTAGAAGGCGGTTGGCTTGCTGGTTTGCTGACTGCTTGGCTGGAAGGAAGCCTGAAGTAATCATGAAAACTTTACTGACATTACTATATATTTCAGGAACATGCAGATGTGGCATCATGAAGAGGGATATCACAGAATCAGTGGAGAAGTTCTATCACGACTTTTCTAAAACATATCATCGACTGCGTGAGAAATACAATATAAAACCTGCTAACCATGTCACAACAACAGACACGTGTACAGAAAAAGCCGTGAGGAAAACATTGACTTACACGCCATAGCAAAGCTAAGGATCGAGAAAATGTTGAATTTTCACTCAGCACAGAAGGAAAAACTTGATCTCTCATGAGATTAGTTAGCACGTGAAAGGCCACAGCAGTTGTTAGAAACAATCGTGGAAAGGCGCGGGGTTTTAAATCTTCAAGTGCCAACCATGCTCTTGCATTAGTGTCTTTGACCAATCAGTAAATGTAGATATATATATAAGGAAAGACCGTTGCATAATTAAGCAATGGAGCACTTTTTCCGTGTTTACATAGCCTCATCTAAACTCGAGGGGGGCTGGGAGAATTCGAGACAGTTGTGCAAACTCGAGACGCAGTCGAGGCTTTGCGTAACTTTCGAGAATTTTCCCATCCCCACGAGTGTTTAGAAAAGGCTATGTAAACACGGAAAAAAGTACTCTAATACTTTAATAAAATATTTCTCAAAAATACGCGCGAATATAAAACGTCACATCTATTTTTACATACTTTCATCTAATCGCACCTATCGACCGATGAGAGCGCGCGTAGTATCCCAGGTATCTTATGATGCCCCATGTTGGTCTTTGTTCCTTGGCCAGATGGTGAAAATGTCGTAGAAGTAATAGAACAATAATATCAAAAAGATTCGTTTTTCGCATAGAAGCAAATCTATCGTAGACCACTTTATCCACATTGGTAACTCTGGCAGTCCGGAATCAGCAAGAAATATTTGTATACACTAGCATCACTACTTTTTCATTTAAACTGCAAATCAACTGAAGAAGTTAGTTAGACCTCTTGTCTGGTATCTTTCAATTGTTACACTCCTGGGAGAGCTTTTCGAATTTCTCTATCTCTGTTTGAAATTTTCAACATGTGCAATTTAGCCGATCACTGATCGCTGCTGCTTACAGCTTTGATGTGTGTTATCCTTTGAAAACTCTACATTTCAAATACGTGTATGTACAAAACGCCGTTGATGAAGACTTCTCATGGTGGGATACGTAAATCCAGGTAAAAGCACCAATACTAAAATAGAAGAAAGAATAGATTTTCAGCGAGACCCCACAAGTCTGAACAATCTTCCCAAGTGCTTCAATGCCAACTTTTTGTCTTTTCAGTCGTATTAATAACGGCCCTTTTCACGGCTAGCTTTTCTAATTTGCATTACAATTTAATCCAAAGCGGTTGCGAGGCAATTTCGGGCAAAAAAGTGCAAAATTACTCGAAATTGCCTCGCATACATGTTGAATTATTTTGTAATGCAAATGAGAAAAGCTCACCGTGAAAAGGGTTAGCACGATCTTTCAAAGCCGCTAAAAGCACAGAAGGCTCAGGATCCTATCAAGGTCCCAACAAACAGGAGGCGCCGGAATGGAGCTTTAGCGTTTTTGGAAGGGAAACGTCCAACCTGCGTTGTAAGTCACATTTGTACCAAGAATCAACAATATTAACATCTAGTTATTAATATTATTATTTCCCCTCTGTTCTGTTAACTAATGACAAACAAGTGGCAGAAAGTAGTTGCTTTCTGAGACCTAGCTATTCTAGTCCGTTTCTCAAATTCAATAAGCTTGTTTTGTAATATACATTGAGAAATACAAATAGCTGATTCGCACATAGATGATTAATATTAGGAAAACCAAGAATCAACAAACAAACTTCTTTTACTTGAATCATTAAGAAGGCAACAAAAGCCAGTTGTGTTATAATTTTATTGCGAACTTTTTTTTCCCTCTTTGTCACACCAATAATGTACCATTTTGGAATACCAGATGTTTCGATGCTGAGTCATAATGACACACTCTCAATCGTTTGTCCTATGGCGAATAATCGATTTATAGAATCCACATGAATGCTCCATAGTTTCTTATCATATCTTATAACAAAGCATTTAAGCATTCATTTAATGTTTGCCTGAAGTAAAATGCAAAGATATACATTTCAAACTCGGTCGCAATTTTCAAGTGTTCGTGAAATTAACTTTATCAGAGCTGCGATAATTCACGCACCGTATGTCGTGCAGGAAGTCTCTGAACCGTTGCTATTGCGAATTACTAAGAGATAGAAATATCTCCTCCCACCAGTGTTGCAAATGTATTGATATAGATGAGCGTTCGTCAGTATTCGACAGCCGCAGAAAGACTAAACAGTAAATAGTCTAAAAGCTTTTTATGGCTTCAGTCGGACGGCGGAGTTTCGCCTCCTGCGCAACGCTGTATTTGGGAGGGAGAATTTCATGACAAAGACAAGATCGAAGAGGTCCTGTTTCGGTTCTGGTCATTTTCCGAAATTTTAGGTCGGTTTTTATCTTCGGTTTTTGTTCTTAAAATCGAGTAAAAAACCAGGTATAAGAACCTGCATTGTGAGGACCTGTTAGGCTAAGACTCTCCATTTAGATAGCCTTTACATGAGAATCTGTTATCCCATTCATATAAAAACCTGTTTAGGCTACTTTGGAAAACTACAGTTTCTTATGCATGGGTTTTTCTATTTCCGGTTTTTCGGTCTTGACATCTGAGTGTTACGGTTTTCGATTTTTTTTCCCTTTTTCTACGATTCTGTATTCATTGCGTCTTCAGTCAACAACACTGTTCTGACAGTCAAGATAACTATGGAAAAGCAATAAGCCTATACTTTTATGAATACAGGCCCAGATATCATTTCAGCAAGTGATATGCAACCCACTCTTCCACAATTGTGCAGAGGGCACGTGAAACTAGTGGGTAACTACAATCTTTTTATAAGAATATATTCTATAAGAATATCCAGGCTGAAATTTGCGAAATTTTAAGAATATTTTAAGAAAAAACCCAAGGCTGAGATTTTGAAAAGAATACAATTTTGTGTGTTGAAAATTTGTCAATACAATACAATTATATGCTTTTAACTGAAACCGTATAAAATGTTTCCGTTCTCTAAACGGCAAAACTGTCCAAAAAGAGCAATAAAAACAGCACTAGCCGTATGTTCGATGCTGCTGATAACATTTCTGCAAGAAGCTATTTGCATCATATTAGGCTTAAATGCCTGCAGACTGACTCCAAAATTACTTCAACGCCAGATAAAATACATTCCAAATCAGAAATGTCATATGCTATAATCTAACAATATTCACAAGAATATTTCCAGACTAAAATCGGCAGAAAAATAAGAATTTTTCTACCCAAAAGACAATATTCTTATTAAAAAAAAAGGTGTAGTCGTAGATTTATGCCCTGTCACAAGATTCTATTTCTGAATGATCTCCTGCCTGAAGAATCCACTTTTAATGAAATGCATCGCGAGTGCTTTTTGTCGGTAGAAAGGACTTTGATCGGTCGAGAAAATTTTGCATTCGAGAAGTTTTCATTCGAAAGTTGACGCTAATTAAATAGTTTTAACTTCCTGATTCGAATGACAGCGAAATAATTATTCACGGCCAGTGTACTTTCATCAGTCATGTCTTAAAAGTCGGTCGAGAAATCAAAAGTACTGTTTCAATAGCTTTATTCAAATTTCTAAAACAACTGTTCTTCCCTTTGTACTTTAAAATTCTGTTATGTCAATCGTTGTACACGATTTTGACAGCAACATCCGGACCTATCGAAATGGTGACTTGACAAGGTTTGAAGAGATATATGTACCCCTCGGAGCTTTTATGTTATTTTGGTCTGGTGCAAAATTACCTTTTAATAGAAGGAGATAGAAAAACATCAATGAGATAATAATAAACCACAAAGGAAGAAGGATGATTAAGGATGGAAAAGATTAACACGGGCTTGAAAAATTTAGGCTAAACTTTTCAAGATGCTCAAACCGTGTGAGGTAGAAAACAAGGGCCAGACTCACAAGGAAGATTATTCGTTCTTGTCCCCAGTCCCCAGAGCTACCTGTCTACACCTCGGCTCCTTTTTCCTCGTGCCAAGGGTCCACCCGCCGGCTGAGAGGGAGAGGTGGCTCTGTGGACCCGAATGAATGTAATACGAGAACTAAAACCCCAAAACTGATAGACGAAGATATAAGAGAACTCTTATTTGGTCCAAAGTGAAAAATCGGTTTCAGTTTTCGTCACAACCACTCTGGGTTACTTACGTCATGGTGCAAAACATGTGAATTTGTAAAACGAATTTCGCTCAAATAAATTTCGAAAGCATTAGCCTCTTCGAAGCGTTCAGTTAGTTGAGGCGCAGCCGTTTTTAGCGCTGCGCCTAACTAACTGAACGCCTGGAAGAGGCTCCGAAAGCATCGGAAAGAAAATCAGGCGTGAGAAAATACGCTAGCATGTTGAGCACGAGTGGAATTCCAGTTGACCGCTCAATGCTGTCAACAGCTTTTGGGTCACGTTAACGCCGAAAAAAAAAAAAA